CAGAACACACGCTGCTGACGGACACAGGACAAGCTGCCGGACACACAGAAGAAAGAGCTGATGTACAAACAGAAATAGTGACAGTAAACTATTATCTACTATCCTGTCTGCCTTCTCTTCCTAGCACGCAACTGAAGGATATAACCAGTGTCGACGCAGGCCCACCCAAGGTTATAACACTCAGTCACCAGTCGGACACTCCATACTGACTACAAGGTACGAATTATTTCGTCGGTTGGCGACCACCTACGCCGCAACTATTAGGACACCGGAATAGCTTCACGTACGCTGAAGAAAGTGCACTGAAACGTCGGCTTCACTCGCTATTCCCATGGCCACCCTCCTCCCCCCCTTCTAAACGGTTCAGTCGTCTGAGTTCTATATAGGACCTTTATAACGGAAAAGGAGAACGTATGCTTCTTCCTCAGTAGAAAGTGTACAACTTTTAGTTTGGATTGTGACGACAATTACGCTTTTAAGAGGCCTCAAGAAGTTTGAAGCCACCCAAGTACACGCCACAACCGTGAAAGGAAACAATAATGAATAGCCACAAAACTAAAACTGTAGGAGGAGGAGGAGGCGGGAACACTGTACTCACTTGGACAATCGGCCATTCGGACGCCTGTGGGCAGGACGGCCTCGATTACAGCAAAGGCCCTCTCAGTAGCTATCAGCAGGCGCATCCAGCGTTTCCGATGGGCAAATTCGAAGTCCAGTTCACTGTGATAGCGATCCGCACAGAGTGCATTCACGTTGTATCCCTGATCGGGTTCACTGCCAGTCAGATTCTCAAAGGACGTACCGTCGCCACCGCCGCCGCATTCATTGGTCTCACTGGCCGGCCCGTCCAGGGAGTAGAACTTAAAGGAGCTGCCGGTGCTACTGCAGCGCTTGATCTGATACTCCTGTTCGGAGGGAGTCAGACCAGACAGGGAGTGTTTGCGCGAACCGCCGCAGGACCGAGAGGGCCCACGACTAGGCTCTGAGGAGAGCCTGGTGTACCGGTAGGGCGCACTGGCCGCCTGTGCATCGTATAGCTGCAGAAGAAGAGCAAAGCCCAAAAGTCAACAATAACATTAGTCAGTAGTGGCACTTCTGATACTAAGGCAAATCATGATGCGCAGGGCATGTAAATGTGCCGGCGTAGTGCACTGATTGGTCGTCCATCATCGTTCCATCCTGGTGATGGTGGTGGTGGTGGTTGTGGTGGAAGAGGAGCGGAAAGACCGAAATCCAAATTCCATCAGATTGTTCGGAAAGTACTGACCGATTTTTCGATCCTCTTTTAAAAAACGATGTAACCGTAGCTTATATTAGCCCCCTTGGCCACCAATAACTCCAGGATCGGGTAAAATGGCAATGTTGGTAATGGTGGGCAGGGATGTAAAGAGAGGGATTTCGTCACGGACAAACTGCGAAATGTGTGTAAAAAACGTTACAAAATAAGTAAATAGCTACCAAATGTATTCCTCTAAGCCTATATACAGCAATGAACTTCAGAGTGATTTTTTTTAAAAAAGTAACTCTCAATAAACAAAAGGAATTTGATTAACAAACGCCACAATAAATCAACTGTGAGCATGTCATTCTGTTGATGTAGTAATTTAGTATACCTCTTGTAGAACTACTCATAGGACAAAAAGAGGCTACTGACAGCAAAGAAGTTGTGTTATTCATCGCGACTGTTTACAGAAGCGTGCAGGGTTGAGATGGGTGCACACAGATCACCACGGACAACTGAATATTCGGCAAGGATCCAATATTTGTAACCACTTGGCAAACCAACGCACGAGATAATTAGGGGTTGTGTGGATGAGGGAGAATGGCAATAAGTAGGGAAATACCGGGGTAAAGATAGGCGAAAACAAGAAATAAGCCGAAGATGGTTCAAATAGTCCCTATTCAATTCACGAAGCAGCAGACAGTTCAAAAACCTGTGCGCCGTAACAAATTATAAACTTAATCTAACCCTAAAACTAATCCTAGCCGTAGGACTAACCTTAGCGTCAAAACTGGCCCCAACTCTCACCCTAACTCTAGTTTTAGCCTTAAAACTAACCGCAACCCCAAAACTAACATCAACTCCAACCCCAAAACTAACGCCAACCCTAACACACCCTCACGAGAGTAGCCAAGTACATAGTAATAATACCACAGTTATATTATCCATACTTGATAGTCCTTAAAACTGGAACCGAAACCTGTTAGGGTAAGGATAGATCATGCAAGCGCCAGGGTTAAGAATATATTTGAAAAAAGACATCCCAAGAAATATAATTTGATAAAAAAGATTCTTTGGGAAACGTGAACGAACTGCATTGTAAATTTTCGACGCTGGCACACCAGGTCGCCGTCGGAAGTGGGGGAAGTGTGTAAAGAACAGTGCGCATTTTTTAAATGCTGAAAAATCGATTATGACTCGTCATCCTTGGTCAATAGTATTTTTGGTGGTTGGCAGTTTTTCCAGGCTTTTTTTGAGATTGATGTACATTGAATCCTAATCAACGTGCCTTGGTCTGAGTTACTTTATTATTCCGCAGCCGTAGGAAGTAACCCTCTGTATGTTAACTGCTACGCTCATATAACGAAGTGCACAAAGTATTTTTATTGTATAAACTGGAACACGCGCATCCCAAGAAATTTAAATTTGAAGAAGACGTTCCTTTGGGATAAAATAACTTTAATGAGTGAATTTTCGAGGTTGGCACCCCAACTCGTCTTCGGACTAACAAGACTAACAAGAAAAGTGCAAGGAACAACTAAAATTTCAAAACCGCCAAAAAATCAATAGTTGTACAAAGTGAGACATGATTGGTAGGTTTGGTCTCAGTTAGTTTTTGTCCTGTGGTCTCTGTATTTTCTATTGTTCTTTGATGTGTTTATAAATACCATCCAACTCGACGTGCCGGTTAATGCATGAATCGTCGGAGTGCATTGCTTCGAGGAATTCTCGACCATTTTTGGAGTGGCAAACGGAGTGCCGTCAATTGTCTACTACATCGAGCAAAGACACACTGCTCTAAAGAAAAAATCTACCGAATGGAGCTCAATTACTTGTTTGATGTATTTTCCCGAAATGGTTACCCCAAAAGCTTTATACGCCGATTAATGAAACAAAACGTAAAAAAGAGGAACCAGACAGTTCCACTCAAGCGCCCAACGCAAATACATGGCGAGTCCTCCCTTATATAAGGAATGTGTCTGAAATCGTTGAAAGACACTTGCGGAAACAACAAATAAAAGTGGCACAAAAACCGATGGCTACTTTACGCACTCAGCTAGGGTCAGCTACCTCAATAAGAAAGAAGCCATCTACAAAATCCCATGTGGGGTTTGTGATACTGTATATTGTGGCCAAACAGGAAGATGCGTCTCCACGCGCATCCGCGAACACCAATTGGCCGTGTATTGACATGATCGTTTTTCCGAAGTGGCCATGCATTGCCTCGGCACAGGACACACATTTGCATGGGATAAAACACGCATCGCCGGAATTTTTCACTCCAAAAATGGCCGAGAATTCCTCGAAGCCATGTACTCCGACGATTCATGCATTAATCGGCACGTCGAGTTGGATGGTATTTATAAACACATCAAAGAACAATGGAAAATACAGAGACCACAGGACAGAAACTAACTGAGACCAAACCTATCAATCATGTCTCACTTTGTACAACTATTAATTTTTTCGGCGGTTTTGAAATTTTAGTTCTTCCTTGCACTTTTCC